CTTAACTCATTTATCAAAAGTGTCCCGATCTACTAAACAACTCTTCGTATCGCCTAAAGGCACCAAACCAATAGAAAGCCTTAAAGTTGAGCTCCGGGTACAAAAACTTTCATTTAAATATATTCTCCAATAGTCACAAATGATAGAAATCCACTTTGTGTGCAAGAAATGCCTTTATCAATGCAGTTATTACAATATAAAGTGGCAGGGACATCATCACTGATAACATAACTTGTGCAGAGAGCAGAGCACCAGCAGGGATCCAGCAGGCCCCACATATTAGAGTTCCAATTGGCTTGGCACTTGGAGCTGGACTTGGCGGGTATCAGAAGTGGTCCAGGACCTTAATGCTCAATCAATGCCGCAAGCCACGAGAGTATAGTTGTCACACCATTAGAAAAGATGTAGCTAGGGACCGGCTGGGCCAGCAACAATTGGGCAGCGAGGTACCAGGTCAGCAGACAAGGCGTAGTCAGGGACAGGCCGGGCCAGCAACAATTAGGCAGCGAGGTACCAGGTCAGCAGACAAGGCGTAGTCACTGGGACAGTCCAGGTCAGCAAAAATCAGGCAGTGAGGTACCAGTGTGGCAGACAAGACGTAGCCAGGGACAAGCCGGGTCAGCAACAATCGGGCAGCGAGGTACCAGGGTGACAGACAAGACGTAGCCAGGGACAAGCCGGGTCAGCAACAATCGGGCAGCGAGGTACCAGGGTGACAGACAAGACGTAGCCAGGGACAAGCCGGGTCAGCAACAATCGGGCAGCGAGGTACCAGGGTGACAGACAAGACGTAGCCAGGGACAAGCCGGGTCAGCAACAATCGGGCAGCGAGGTACCAGGGTGACAGACAAGACGTAGCCAGGGACAAGCCGGGTCAGCAACAATCGGGCAGCGAGGTACCAGGGTGACAGACAAGACGTAGCCAGGGACAAGCCGGGTCAGCAACAATCGGGCAGCGAGGTACCAGGGTGACAGACAAGACGTAGCCAGGGACAAGCCGGGTCAGCAACAATCGGGCAGCGAGGTACCAGGGTGACAGACAAGACGTAGCCAGGGACAAGCCGGGTCAGCAACAATCGGGCAGCGAGGTACCAGGGTGACAGACAAGACGTAGCCAGGGACAAGCCGGGTCAGCAACAATCGGGCAGCGAGGTACCAGGGTGACAGACAAGACGTAGCCAGGGACAAGCCGGGTCAGCAACAATCGGGCAGCGAGGTACCAGGGTGACAGACAAGACGTAGCCAGGGACAAGCCGGGTCAGCAACAATCGGGCAGCGAGGTACCAGGGTGACAGACAAGACGTAGCCAGGGACAAGCCGGGTCAGCAACAATCGGGCAGCGAGGTACCAGGGTGACAGACAAGACGTAGCCAGGGACAAGCCGGGTCAGCAACAATCGGGCAGCGAGGTACCAGGGTGACAGACAAGACGTAGCCAGGGACAAGCCGGGTCAGCAACAATCGGGCAGCGAGGTACCAGGGTGACAGACAAGACGTAGCCAGGGACAAGCCGGGTCAGCAACAATCGGGCAGCGAGGTACCAGGGTGACAGACAAGACGTAGCCAGGGACAAGCCGGGTCAGCAACAATCGGGCAGCGAGGTACCAGGGTGACAGACAAGACGTAGCCAGGGACAAGCCGGGTCAGCAACAATCGGGCAGCGAGGTACCAGGTCAGCAGACAAGGCATAGTCAGGGACAGGCCAGGTCAGCAACAATCGGGCAGCGAGGTACCAGGGTGACAGACAAGACGTAGCCAGGGACAGCCCAGGTCGACAACTTGCTGCCAGCGTAGTACAGAGAAGTAGACAGATGCATAGTTGAGAACGAGCCGTGGTCAAGGGATCCAGAACAGTAGTCGGAAAGGTGAAGACCACCTGGGTCAGACTCGGTAATGGAAGATCAGAAACAGAATACAGGAACCAGGTAGCAGGGAACATCTAAGATCACTCAGCATGGAGGCTAGGATGTCACAGCCCTAAATAGCCTGCTTGGCGCCACAGTTTGTATTAAGAGCGTGCACATTGCCACGATGAGGCACGCGGCCGTGTACAATTCTATGTGCCAAACTGTGCCCATGCACATACGCATGCGCGAGCACTCGCCTAGTGCTTTGGCTGTGCAGGCTGGTACTCACTTCCTGACAGACGGATGCTCAGCTCATGGCAGTGCCCTGCTAGACACTGGAGGAACGAATGTGGGGGGAATCTCCCCAGTGGAGGCACATACAGCTAATAGAACCTGATAGAGGATCTAAAACTTCTCCATACTATCAAAAACTGAATAAGGGCCCATTCACACCTGTGTTTTAACCCCCGCCAACGCAATTACACAGGTTAGCCGATATATTCAATGGTGCCATCTCTTATCTGTATGAGTCTGTATCTATAAGTATGTGAAAGTCAGTGTTAAGTGTATATAAGTGTATATATGGAGCCAATTAGTGATGGAGTGTGATTAAGAGGTTCCTGGTAAAAATGAAATAAAGATCGCATTCATGCTTTATCTCTACTGCCGGCATTAATCTTACACACAGCCTTTAAATCTCTACTGATTGATCTCTGCATTGACATCTGTCAATGCAGAGATCAATCAGTAGAGATTGAAAAGCTATGCAAGATGCAAAGAGTAATTAACAGAGGAGGGGCTTCTAACCCTACCATGTGTGTCTTGAATGTCTAGTCCTTTTTATTATTTATTAGGTGTACGTGAAAAAGTAATCAGCTTGAATGCTCATAGCAATCAGTGACATCACTGGGTGGGACGCTGGCCAGAGCTGGTGGGGAGACGATGCAGAGGCCCCATCCCCTGTAGCATTCACCCCCCAAACACCACACCCCTGCATCCTCAAGCGTTGACAAATGCTAGGGACGCCCCTGGTACTGTGCTTTAAAGAGGAACTTGACCCACCAATTTAATGGTCTCCCAAAAACAGTTACTTTTAAGGCACGTCAAGGTTGCCAGTGTGCTTATTTCAGCTCTCAATCGAACATTTAAGCCCTTAAATGGCTGGAGTCATAGCTGATCACATGTGCAGAACCATGGCAACTGCGATCCAAATAGAGGCTAAGATGGCGCCTTCCTTTACTGTAGGTGGGTGCAGGTCTGCTTTAAGTATCTTGGTATCCAACGCTTCCAGGAGTGTCAGATTCCTGGTCACCATCCATGTGCAGTGGTTCCCGGTCGCCCCCCTACGTCACTTCTGTCTTGTTGTGTCCAAGGGGACCTCTGTAGGAACCAATGCCTATGGTGGATGAGCAGGAATCTGACACTACTATAAGTGCTGGATTCTGAAGACTCTTCAAGGGAAGGTTTCTCTTCAGTAGAGCAGAGATCAGCAGAACAGGCAGCGGAAGAGCTAAGTATTTACTATGTTCTTTAAAGGTGGCATATTTTTGGATAGAGCCGCTTTATATTCTCTGATTAAGACATGTTGATAGATAGATAGATAGATAGATTTATTTGTCACATACACAATCGTACAAGTATGATATGCAGTGAAATGCTTACACGACTGCAAAAAGAAGAAAGAAAGAATACATGTTAAATAAAACTTTTACATTGCAAAATAAATATAAGTGTTAAATGTAAATATTAAAATTTAAATTTGACTAAAAATGCCAATAATACAATATGGAATGTAAGTGTGCGAGTGCCAACAGCAGCAATACGGGGTAAAATGAATTAAAGTGATGACCAGCAGTGTATTGACCTTTCCTTGACCATTTTCTTTTAAAGTGCGGATGTGCAGTAATGTGAGAATACTTACCTAATCAGGCAGTAGATTATATGACTATATAGAGGTCTGATTAAGAGACCGTATAGCCTGAGGGAAGAAACTTCTCCTCAGTCTCTCTGTGTTGGCCTTCATGGAGCGATAACGCTTCCCAGACCTCAACAAAGAAAAAAGTCCATTGTTGGGATGGCTGAGGTCCCTCATAATCTTCCTGGCCTTGGTCCAGCACCGCTTGCTATAGATCGAATTCAGGTCAGGGAGTTTAGTTCAGGATGATTCTCTCAGCTGCTCGCACCACCCTCTGAAGAGCTCATCTGTCCTGCACATGTTGGGTTGACAGTTGGGCTCCCGAGAAACCACTTCATCCAAAGCTGTTCTTGGGCCCCTTGTGTGAGGTAGAACATCCAAAGCCAACTTTTATATCCTGGATATGCGGACATATGTATATGTAGTAAACAGGCACCTATAGCTCCGCTTTTATCTCTCCGACAGTGCATTGAAAATTAGTCTGGCAGAAGACCATTTTCACCTGACTGGCTACTGGTGTGACGACTCTACTCTCGTGGCTTGCAGCAGTGATTGGGCTTGAAGTCCTGGGCCGCTTCTGATACCCAACAAGTCCAGCTTCAAGTGGCCAAGCCAAGTGGAACGCTTTAATATGTGGGACCTGCTGGGTCCCTCCTGGTGCTCTGCTCTCTGCACAAGTTATGAGCAGCACAGCGATGACCATTTTTTATCTGACTGACATTCTTTTCTAATGTTCTGAAGGCTAAACTCTCTTAGCTTGCAGCCAGTGGCGGAACTACCAGGGTCGCAGAGGTCGCGGCCGGGACGGGGGCCCTGAGCCACTGCTTGCAGCAGTACCTGGGCTTGTGGTTCTGGAACACTTCTGATACCGAATAAATCCAGCTCCAAGATCGGTTTCCTTACACTCCCACTTCTTCATAATTATTATGGAGGGGGCTACAACTCCAGCATAGCCCTGCAGTCTATGGTCTAAATAGCAGCCCACTCATTAATAAGGATACTGGATTGGTTTGGCTGTGGGACAAACTGGATTTAGAAGCTGCACATATGGAACAACCTCAAGACCAGTGAGGCTAGAACCCACATGCAGTTAGTCCTGGCTCATTTGCAGTATCACAGTTATGCTTCTGACCTTTACCCCCCATGGTGGTGGTCAGTACCCCTGCTAAGCTTCACACCGATAGTTCTATATAGTAGCTGGCTGTTCAGATTTCATAAATCTGTATCTCTTCTTCCTAGGGGAGCTTTTTCTGAGGTGGTCCTCGCACAAGAAAAGGATTCAGAGAGACTGGTAGCCCTGAAATGTATCCCGAAGAAGGCTCTGCGTGGAAAGGAGGCCGTGGTGGAAAATGAAATTGCAGTCCTGAAAAAGTAAGTTGGCCCCTAAGGGACAAATCGAAGGTTGCCCACTGCGCACGATCAGCAGAGACGTCTCTTGATATCAGTATAATTAAGTCTTGTTGCCCCATTTTCCATCAAGGAAAAGCTGTGGAGTCCATTCATCAACCCTGTGTGGATCTGCTTACATTTAAGGTGGAACTGAACTTTAAAAAATGTGAAGATTTGCGATGTTATAGGGAATGTTTAGAAATGTGAATTGTGCCCGAGCAGTATCCTAAAAAATAGTGTTTAGAATTCCTTCTGAAAATAGAAATGCCTTTCCTGCTATGTGAGGATGTCAAGGCACTCCTGTGCCTATAGTCTCATCGGTGTATATCTAAGATCTAAGACACTGCTGCCTTTGGCTGCTAGCCTCAGGAGATTTGGAGTAAGATCTGATGCTGTCACTACTGTTCTGCTCAATGTTCTCCTTGCTGGAGGCTCTGATATGAGGAAAATACCTCTAGCAAGATGGCCGCCTCCACACAGAGGCACAATGTGAAACGAGGCACGGCAAGTCCGTAATTGTGAAAGATCTTGACTGATGGATTCGTCAATTTTCGTCCCTCCGTTAAAACCCCAATAAACACGCGGACTGCGCGACGTGGATTGTAACGGCCACAGCCGCCCCTTTTATTAAACCAAACAACTTTAACAATAACCAAAAGTAATAAACCAAATAATATACACAAATAACACTGTAAATGGTTGACCTGAGAAGGGGTCTTTGGGTGCCCAACAGCCCAAACAGGCCTCTCCTAACACTCCACCCGTGTCCCCAGCACAACCAGCTCGAGGACACTTACTCCTTCTGGGTAGCCAAGGGGCCAGGCCCCGCCCCCTACAAGTCCAGACACCAACAGGGGGAAGCACCCATACCAGCTGATGTCCCCCCATTTTTGCAACTCTGATTTTGTAGACCCCCCAAAGACCCCCTAACCCGCCAAGCTGCCGTGACAAAAGAAATCCAGAAAGAGGACGTCCCTCAGCCCTTGCAGTTCCTTCCCATGCGGCTCCTCCCGGACAATTGACCCCCAACGTCCAATCAGGTAAAAGCAGCTATTCCCATTTTATTTTAACTCTTTCTCCCGGGAATATTCCTTCCCCCCCAGTCATGTAGCCCCTCCGCTCAGTCTCTTCTTCAGGTCTGTCTTCTTCAGGGAGGCCAAAGGCAATACTGGTGACTAGACCTTTGCCTTCTGCTGTGTTTTTGGATAATGATATCAGCCGGCATCCCCTGCCCTTTGCTTACATTCACCTGCCAGCTAGGGAAGCTCCTGGTCAGCAACAAAATGGGGCCCGGGGAATGCGTAATTGGTAGGATGCTGACAGCCGGGTATTCTAGCAAACAATGAACAGGAAGTTGTCCCAGTCATGGCAGCTAACCAGCGCATACATGCCGCACTCTGAGCACTGGTGTCTCCCTATAACAACAGGCCTAAAGCGGCAGTAATAGGAACCACATGAATCTTTTGCAGGTGTCGGAAACTGCAACCGAAACTGAATTAGAGAGCAAGTTATTTTAAAGGGACCACACCGCAAGTCTGGCAAAAAAAAAAGGTTGCCATTGCCTAAATACACTAAGATAGAATTGTTATGCTTTTAGGGACTCGTGCACATGGCCGCTTGGGGATGTACAACATACATTTGGGGGTATTTCCCCCGCCAGGGAGTCACAGGGGCTGCCTACAGCCTCCCATAGAAGTCAATGGCTGTGCACAGGTACATGCACGCGCACTGGCGCACAACCCTGAACACAAAGAGACTGCGCGCATGTACGCAACTTCGGCATACAGCTAATGGCGTCTATGGGAGGCTGTATGCAGGACATGGAGGGGAACATAGCCCCAGAATTGACATGGTACGGCCATGTGACTGAGCACTTACTGCCAATTGGAGGGCACATTATACGGGTTTCTGCCTTGCTGTGAGTTTCTGACTCTGTGGATGCAAGGTATTGAGATTGATTGGCTGGTTCATTGATTGAGTATTGATTTTCACTCGAAGGACATGCGTCTTTTTGAAACCTAACTTTGCAACAATGCCATTATGTAATATGCGAAGGATGACTAATTGTTTCTAGATATCAGCTTTTCAGTCTGAAGAGGAACAAAACTTTCCCAGGCAATGCTTATAAAGCGCTTCCATCGCTCCTCATATTTTTCGGAGCTTGTATGATCTTCGTTACGTTCTCATTTGAACTTTTTGCCCTCTTTCGGAACCTCTCTGTACATAGCTGGTAGGGTTGCTATAGATACTATTATGAAGAAGAGATAAGATATTACCAGTGGGGCGTATTGCCAAATATAGGTGCAATATTGCAATGTAACTATAGTAACAAACTGATTTGATTTTGTGAGGTTTAAAAAGTGAAGACCCAGATGGTGCTTAAGACAAACAAAAAAACGCAGCTTTGTCTGCAATGCTTGCCACCTTTCTGGTGCTGTCCCCTGCAGTATCTGCATCCACCACTAGGCGTCCTCAGGCTTCCTGGTTGAATGACACCAACTGTTAGTCAACCCAGTAGACTGAGGACATTCTATGAGTGTAAGACATCATGGGCCCGCCCAATGAGGGGGCATCAACACAGCACCACTGTCTGCATCATGGAGGACGACCAGGAGGGGCAGATCAGAGGAGGCAGAAAACCCTGTAAGTCATGTGACTGGCCTGAGAGTTAAGTATTAGAAAAATACTAAAATACCGAACTTAATGATCCCACTCCTGCTATCTGCAGATCTGTACTTATCGAGATCTGAGGGCCACTGCCCCATATTTTGTTGACATCCAGAGCTCCAAGTCTCCCTCTTCAGGCTGTGTCCATCTCCTGGCTGGGAGATGGCTCCATAGCACCTATGAGGCTGTAATGTGCAGCTGTGGCCAGCAGAGGGAGCATTGCACACTGGATGTAAACAATAGTGGAACAGATCTCGGTAAGTATGGATCTGCGGATCGTTTAGGTCAGCGTGGAGGGCAAAAACACTAAGTGCACTGATCACTTAGGGAGGCTTCATATGTCTCAATTCATGCAACAAGCCTCTGAGGGCCACAACTATCCACACAGGATTAGCAGATCCTTAGGAATTTCTTGTTATTCAATAAGGCTGATACTTTTTATGATCAATGTGCCTGTAATCTCTACTATTTACTTCATTAAAGATGAGAGTTGGTATTTTCCATTTGTTGTGTGGCCATTAAGACATCAGGATTTGCTGATGTTAGGTTGTATTTTGTGTAGGCGTGTGTAATAGGGCTCCCCACGGGTTCTGTGCCAGGTTACAGGAGAGTACAGTATTGATTAAATTATATACTTGGACCCAGAGTCTGTAAACTCAAATGGCAGGTCCACCATACATGGGGTCCAGTTGAGCGCATAGGATCAGCTCATTTCTATAATAAATGAAAGGTCATCAATGATATTTTTATTTACATAGAATGAATATGATTAGTATCTGTTTTATCTTATTTTCTTGTGGTAGGACGGCATGATTATGAAAAGGCATGAGCTCAAGTTCTGAGCAAACCTGGTCTGAACCTGAGCTCCTCTGAACAAGGAAGTGCCAAGGGCACGTCCACCCATTCAGCTGCAGTGGCCGGACATTCCCCGCCCCACAGCTGCATGCAAACAAAGGGGTGTGATGCTTGTGCTGATGTCATTTACCTTATATGGCCACAGAATAACTTGTAATCATGCTTCTGATGTGAAAGGTGGTCTCTGTTCTGAAGGTGGGGCTTCTGATGTGAAGGGGGTCCTCTGATTTGCAGGAGGTCCTCTAATGTGTAGAAGTGTCCTGATGTGAAGGGGGCTCCTTATGTGAAGGAATGGCTTCTGATGTGAAGGGGGCTCTGATGTGAAGGGGGTCCTCTGATTTGCAGGAGGTCCTCTAATGTGTAGAAGTGTCCTGATGTGAAGGGGGCTCCTGATGTGAAGGAATGACTTCTGATGTGAAGGGTAGTCTCTGTTCTGAAGGGAGACTTCTGATATGAAGGGGGTCCTCTGATGTGAACTAGGCTCCTTATGTGAAGGAATGGCTTCTGATGTGAAGGGGGCTCTGATGTGAAGGCGGTCCTCTGATGTGAACGAGGCTCCTGATGTGAAGGAATGGCTTCTGATGTGAACAAGGCTCCTAATGTGAAGGCGGTCCTCTGATGTGAAGGGGCGATTTTGATATGAAGAGGGGCTCCTGATGGAAAGGGCGTCTTCTGATGTAAGGGGGCTTCTGGTGTGAAAGGGGCTCCAGATGTGAAGGGTGGTCTCTGATGTGGACGTGGGGCACCTGATGTGTAGGGTGGAACCCTACATCATTTTCTTTTTGTTATCTTTTTTAGCATTGCCCCCTTAAAATCCATTCCAGACCCTTATCTAGGATCATAGTCAGGTATAGATTTTTTTTTGGGGGGGGGGCCTTAAGATTTGGTAGACTTTTAATGGGTGCTGTTGGTTGAGAAAGTCAGGAATAGCACATCCAATACGCCTCGACCTGTATTCTAAAACTCCGGAACACGTCCTCTCTTCTACCACCTTACTCTACACAATGGGGGGAAAATGTGTCCCCGCAAGCCGTTACCTGATAAAAAATGAATCTTTTTCGGCAGTTCTATGGCTTCTTCATACTTGAACCCAAAAAGCAGAACTTTCACGGTTGCCATGGAAACCTCAGAACTCCGTGTGCTTGGTCTCCCAGGAAAGATGAAATTATTCAAGGCAACGTCCATCTTTTTTTTTCTCTCTCTTTACCCGCCCAGCGTATAATTATGTTGTACAGAACGTGAGATTCCACAGATTGGGGGAATAAAGATATCTCTTAAAATGTCATAAAAAAAAGCTTAAAGGAGAACTATGGGGTTAAGGCTTTTCCCCATAGTTCTCCTCAGGGTCGGGGGAGGACACAAACTAGCGTTCTCCCGTCACCCTAAGCTCAGTATATAGGGAGCTACAGCTCGCGGTATACTGAGACGCTGCAGCTGAAGCGGATCCCGACGTAGATGTCTGGATCCACCCAGCTGCATGAGTGACAGCTGGCTCCTCCTATCTAGAGGCAGAGCCAGCTGTACCCGCCCCCTCCCCCGTCCGTTCCGCCAGTCAGCGCTGGCAGATCGGAGCGGGGAGGGGGGAATCCAGCCGCTCCACTGTCACGGCAGAGAGCCGTGACAGGATGGAGAAGTGAGCGAACGCCGGTATGTGTTCTCTCACCTCCCGATCTACTGAGCCGACCTGTGACAGTCTCATTGTCACACGTCGGCTAGAACTATGAGGGGAGTGAAAAGCCCCTCCCCCCCGTAGTTCTCCTTTAATCAAACCTTCTATTACTCAGCAGCACTCGGAATAGTTCTGCGGATCACGAGAGGAACCTGCACAGTGTGCCTCCTCGTGTCAAACTTCTCCATCTTACATATCGTCCCAAAGCCGATATATTTCTTTATATATCCGCTATAAATAAAAGGCAGCACATTGATGGGGTGAATATATTTATAAACAAAATGCACCTTTTAGGCCCGAAGATTAGTTAAAACCCCCCAGAATAATATATATTTCCTGAAAGCAGAGAGACTGGAGAATTAAATGGCGGCAGCTGCAATTTTGTATGTCGCATGATATTAGCGCAACTCTTTATCAAATTCTAAACTTCGGTAAAAAATACAATCGAGTTTATTTCGGTGCGCAAAAACACAATATAATACCCATTGTTTTTTGGGTACAATAGAAAAGAAAAGGTTGTGCCGCGTAAAGAGATACCAAACATGTCAAGCCTCAGGGTACGTTCACACCAGAATGCAGTGCGTTCCGGCCCGATTCCGGCTGGAACGCACTGCATCGAATTGCGGCCGGCTCACTTTTTTGTGGGGCAGGAGGGGGCGTGGTGGGCCATTGAAGTGAATGACTCCTATCATCCAGTCACCGGGAACTGGGAAACAAGTTATTAAGAAAAATCCTAAAAGCATCGAGGGATAAAAGATGTTTTGCCATTTATTAGGTCTGGTGTATTCATGGCAGACCTCACATTGCGACCGGGTCACTTTTTTGCCGGGCTGGAGGGGGCGTGAAGGCCCATTGAAGTGAATGGCACCGTAGCCACGCCCTCCGGCCGCAATGCGATTGCCTTGCACGGGATCGCAGGGTACATTGTGCCTGCGGTCCAGTGCGGTGCAATCAAAATGCTGCGTGCACGGCCGTATCGGGCAGCTTCTGGGAAGGACAGGTGCAGCGTGTGATTATACGCAGCCACTGTCCTTCTCTATGGGAGTATGCCACCCTACGCTCACCCGCCCTGCAGGTCCGCGCGGGTGAGCGTACTCGTAAGCTGACAGGATAGATGTCTGCATCCGAGCCAGGACACCCGCACCCGTACAAACCTGCACTTGGGGTGAGCATAGGGCGGCGTATGGCCACGTACTCCCATAGAGAAGGACGGGGGCTGCGTACTAATCACAGGCAGCAACTGTCCTTCCCGGGAGCTGCCCGATACGGCCATGCACGCAGCACGGAGCTCTACGTGCCGGCCTTTTCTGGTGTGAATGAGGCCTAAATATACGTTTGTCACACGCAATTAAGACTTTCGGGACTTGTGGTGCTGTCATCCTTCTTCACATTCTTCAGGTTCCTCCAGTGCCCCCCTTTGATAGAGAGCTGCCTCTTTAATTTGGATTTCAGGCCCCTGGATTTGGATTTTCTTTCCCTACTTCGGCCCCAGCGCTCTACCAACGTACCTTTTATTCAGGAAGTTGATGCCAGAGGACTTCCCTCTGCCATATGCCAGGATCACAGGTCTCAATGGGCAGCAGGAAGCCATATAATGCCCATCATATATCCCCGAATGCTGGCCCTGCTCTGATCAATGTCTGAATGTTGAAGTATCTCCACTCAGGGCCACAACCCTAACATGTCTTATGGGGATTGGCCTGGGAGGCAAATACCCCACAGCCCAGTCCTCCAATGCAGTCCTATCTGACCACCTCTGTTTTGCATGCAGTCATTGCTTTAAATAAAATAAGATCCTTTAATGTCATTTGATTTTCTTCTTCTTCATAGGATTGCTCATAAAAATATCGTCGCCCTTGAAGACATTTATGAGAGCCCCAGTCACCTTTACTTGGCAATGGAACTGTAAGTTACTCTTCTTTTAAAGAAACACTGCTACATTGTGGATGGGGAGAGATATTTTTATGTTACACTTTATGGCCAAACATTTGTGGACATCTGACCCTCATACCGAAAGGAGCTTGCTGGGCAGAACCACCGCCATAAACATGGAGCTACCCTCCTTCCATTGTGACTATAACAGCCTACACCCTCCGGGGAAGGCTTGCCACAAGATTTTGAAGTGTGCCTGTGGAAATTTATGCCTATCCAACTAAAAGAGCATTTGTGAGGTCAGGTAGTGATGTTGGATGAGAAGACCTGGCTTGTAATTGGTGCTCTAATTTGTCCCAAAGGTCAGCGTTCTGTGCAGGCCACCTGAGATCCTCCACACCAAAGTCATCAAACCATGTCTTTATGGAGATGGCTAAGAATACATGAGTGCAGTCATGCTGGAACAGAAAAATACCTTACCCCAACTGTTGATAAAAGGTTGGAAGGTGAAGAATTGTCCCAAAAATGGATTTACCCCTGGAAACCCCTTGACTCTATATGTGGGGGGGTGTCAACATACATTTGGCCATATAGTGTATATGTTTAGCGCCACCCCGGCTTGCCTGAAACACAAGTGAGGTTAATGGTCTAATAAAACTACCATAGATGAAAGTAGTCACTCGCACTCCATGATATTAAAGTCAATGCTGTTTATTGACTGTGATAACACACATCTCCTTAGCGACGTTTCGAGACTATGCGGTCCCGTCCTCAGACTCTGTTTCCCGTCCTCAGGGGTGTCAACAAACATTTGGCAGTATAGTGTATGTGTGTAGTATCCCTCGTGCTCACCTGCGGTTAATGTTCTAATAAAACTACCAACCTAACCCAATATCCAACGCCCCTCCTTCCTCATGTTATATTGCAAATATAGGACTCCCACTTTGAGTTATAGCCGAAAATGTTATCTTGGACTACACTCTGAAGTTCTCCTGAAAGCATTGCCTCAGGATACATCAGACTTGATCTTTAGATAGGAATTTTATTAAAGGTTATGGTAAAATATGGCTCAAGGGTTAGATAAGAACAGAGGTGATTAAGTGACCCGGGCAGCTGTAATTATCCGTTACCTTCAGGTAGACGGCACAAACACATCTATTCCACACACCCGCTCGCTCCGGAACTCCGACATTCCTAATCCTCACATTCTTTGATTGACACTGCAATGCATGGAAGGTTGCTGAGATACGCACACTGATTCATGACATCTCTCTTGCAGCGTCACGGGTGGCGAGCTGTTCGATCGCATCATTGAGCGAGGATATTACACCGAGAAGGATGCCAGTCAGCTCGTCCGACAGATCCTGGACGCCCTGCAGTACTTGCACAATATGGGAATTGTACACCGTGATCTCAAGGTACCGTGGCCTCAGAATGAGCTAAAATTGGGGGGCGTTATGTAGGATGCCAGTTATATTTGTAAAGACCAAAGCGGATGAATTGCCAATCAGTAATGCGTGCAGTCACTGCCATTTACAGTAACTTATCAAACAAGCCTAATAAAGCTTTCAGAGAACAAAAAAATAATGTAAAAAACACAAACACGAGCAAGATTTTATTTCTTATGGCCCCTGTATACCTGTGTAACCCCTTAAAGGGTTATTCAAGCCTCAGCTTTTTTTGCATATATCTACTGCTAGCAAGCACTGCAGCCACCTCCACCTCCAGCACACCCTCTACAAGCCACCTCCAGCACACCCTCTACAAGCCACCTCCAGCACACTCTCTACAAGTGCAGTATTAGTTTGCTGAACTATTCGTTTAAGCAGACTCACAAATGTGA